AACGCTCACATCCTTTTAATTATGTTTGAAATTATGAACATTGCTCAACATCATAAAAATTAAACCTTATTTTCAATAAGCAATCCTGAAAAATATTTGGGGGTGCTTAACTTTTTTCCAGGTGTATATAATAAAAATGTTTCATGAAGCACACACACGAGCTGCATGTAGGTAATGTAATTTGATTTTGTAACTTGAACTGCACATTCTCTGTGTGATTTACAACTTATGGTGCAGATAGTAGTTAAATATGGTTCAAAGGGCAATTAAACAATAAAATTTAATTATAAATAGATGTATACTGTTACGGACTTAGAGCTACTTAGGATAAACGAATGTAGTTTCATGTTACAATCTGAAAATTCATTCTAGAAAAAAAAAGGGTAATTTAGATTAATTTTGACTTCTTTTGGTGGTTACTAGGTCGGTCAAATTGACCAATCCCATTTTGAGTTAGAGTAGAGAAAATAACAGATGAAATATAAAGTTTTACTGGAAATAAACATTTGAAATGTATTTAGGAGGTTTTAGGGATTACACAAAGGAAATTTGAGATGTTTGAGATGACGAAAAGTATTTTTAATTTAACATGAAAATTACTTTGCACACGGACTATTCAAAACAAATACTCTATATATTCATGGACAAATCTATAATTTATTTTATTAAAAATAATTCACTGAAAATATGATTTTTTGTATGTGAAAGACTTATAATGTTAACTGAAAGACTGCCAAATTTTGTGAAGATATACATACTGTATTGAAAGTTAGAAATATTAAATCTATAAAGACTTTAAACAAGTACAAAGAGGTCACGTGGTCAGTCAAATCAACTGACCCTGTGTTGAGAAAGTTAATTCAACAGTTCTGGCCTTAAGTACAGGTAAGTGAAACAATTTTCATGCTGAAAATATTCAAAATTAAAATGCTTTCATTATTTGCATCAGCTACGTACTTAATTCGAGCTTTATTTTTTGTGTCCTGTATGTGTACTATGTGATCTTGATGCCTCAGTTGCTTTTAGCTTGTACTCACTAAGGCCAACCATCAGCTAGAATAGTACCGACTCCAACTAAAGTAATCAATACTATGTAAACTGTCTCAGTTAACCATACTTATTATTAAAATTTAGCTCAGTCTGAGTGTAAACTTGCATGAGGGGAAGCTATTTTCTGCATAAGTTTATATTACTGTACATTGTATTGAAAAATGCCCTAATATGATATACTGAAGTGTGTTGCATCACTCAGAACAGTGACAAAGCACTGGATTTAAGGTTTAAGTATTTGAAAATGTAATTAATATACAAAACCTATGTATGGGCTGTCTACTAAACAACTGTAAAGTATATTTTTTCAGCTGGTCAATGCTGCCATCTGCTAATGTACGTTGAAGATATAACTGTTGTTCTTTAGGTATTGAAGCATGGACACTTGTGGAGAAACCAGTGTTTTAAAGTATCAGTTAATTCTGACTGTTATACTGTTGATTAATTTCTATGTAATTGTTTGACAGACATTTTTATTAAAGGAATAATAAAATTCACATAAAATCAGTTCATCTTCCGAACAACATGAATAATAGATGGGGAGTTTAGTAATTGTTATTTTATGAAGTGATCTTACGTAGCCAGTGTTTGAAATCACTGGTGATTGTTGAAAAAAATGTTAAGGTTCTGATCTTTTCCAATCAGATGACGGTTTTTATTGTTATATTTTACATCGAACAAAGTGAACATGATATTTTGTTTTTATATATACACCCTGTAAAAGTCACCTTTTAAATACTACATCTTGATTTCCAAAGAATCTGGAAGGCAACGTGAATGAATTATTCAACTTAAGTAAAATGGAGGATTCCCACAGCACCTCACTACACACACCCTGGGGACGTCCATACAGTCATGTAGATAAGATGTATGCGTGTAACATTATTAATAAAGATTACGTAACACAGTTTCACCACTTGTGGAGACTTCCAGCGTGGGTGTCATTTACATTAAAAAATAAAGTAAGTTATATTTTAACTCGTAATGTTTCTAAAATACTGTATAATAATACTTTCTCTGAATGATCTTTTCCTTATTATATTGCCCCCCAGTGGCACAGCGGTATGTCTGCGGACTTGCAACGCTAGAAACCGGGTTTCGATACTCGTGGTGGGCAGAGCACAGATAGCCCTTGTGCATAATTAAAAAACAAACTTATTATATTATTTTGATATAAATGGCAATTTGTGTTTTTGTTATTTTACTTTCAACAAATAAGTTAATGAACAAATTTCTAGTTTTTAACGATATTTCTATTAAATATACATTGTAAAAACTTGTTTGTCTTTTAACAAATATTTTAAATTTTTCATGTATTTTATGATTGTTTAGTTACCATAATAGCAAAAGTGTTACTTTTATAAAGTGAGTTCGACTAATTACATATTGACCAGTAGTTGTGGAAAGTCTCAAGCTGTGTAATTCTATGTTTTCCAACATTGTTTATTGTAAAGATAATTTTATAAGAAAATGTTAAGGGCTTTAATACTTAATAAAAATATTAATTAAAGTTATAACGTTTTAGGTTTATTAAGGTTGAATAACATTTATCATCAGAATATATCTTCAGAACATTGTGTTTCCAGTTATGGTTTCATATTTTTTATGTTTCAATGAATATCTATTGATCAGTTAAAATGATTTTTAGACTAATAGCAGTAACCAGAACTTGGACAATGCATCAGTTCCTTGCTGGCACGTGGACTTACGGATGCCATTAGATGGTTCTCCACGATGTTTCAGCTTCCAAGATTCAGAAATAAGATCGACACCTTTGTTTCCATCAGGTTGAACATTTTTGATAATGATATTTCCATATATCCTGATATGATACAAAATACTGCCATTTTTAGAAATTCTTCTGTGTGTTCTTATCTTGTGTATAAGATATTAGTATTCCAGTTTATAAAGTAAAGTTGAATTTTTGAATAAGGATGAGTTTTAACAGAAATAGTTTTCTTAGAGTTCCCAATATTAAAATCAGGTTATGCCTTTCATAAAGTTAGGGTTTTGTTTCAGCCTGGTTACTGGTCAGATTTTTTTTTTGTAAGTGAACTTCATAAAGCTTCCATCATAAAATAAGTGACCATTCATTGAACTAAAAGGCCCCAACCACCTGGTTCTATTTTATTAAAACGTTTAATACTGGATGAAACTTATCTCAAGATCCGACCAATGATTTTATAAAACTACCTGTTTGAAACCTCTAGAAACAGTGTGTTTATATGTGCAATATTATTGTTTTTAAAACATACATTTTTTTTTCTTTTCGCTTTATCTGTGGTAATATTTTGGGGGTAATCATAATCTGTGAGAATAAAAAAGAGAATTATAGGGGCAATTTGTGGTCGTTGCTTTGGACTATATTGTGGTAACAAAGTTGTGGGCTCCCTCAACCAGAGTTTCTAACATTTACTCAGCAATGTGGAATGACAAACTGTGTTTGCAGAGTTCGTCTTCATAGACCATGCATTAAAAATAGTATTGTGCAAATATGGTGGAAACGTATTGATGATAAAAACCAGTTTCTTAAAATATTAAAGAAAGTGCAAATATTAATGGTTCAGATATCCTTGTCAAGGGTTTACTTACTTATAAAATAAAAACTCTTCAATTTTGAAACATTAAAATAGAGGTTTAGAGACAGGGACAGTTTAATTGATGTGAGAGAAGGACGTAACCTGATGCAATGAACAGGATGAACAGCTGGTTTTCTATCATGATGTGAAATATGGAAATAACCCACATCCTGACGTAATGAACAGGATGGACAGCTGGTTTTCTGTCATGATGTGAAATATGGAAATAACCCACATCCTGATGCAATGAACAGCTGGTTTTCTGTCACGATGTGAAGTATGGAATTAATTGGTCTACTGATGTAATGAACAAATTAAACAGTTGGTTTTTTAGTACATTTATATTTTTGCCCTATACTGATGTGAAAAAAAATTGGAAAGAGTAATTTACAATACTTCTAGTGAATTCAAAGTTGATTTAGAAAAGCTTACAATTGCCAGCTTAGAATAGGCTTAGTTAGAGTTAACTTTATTAGCTGTGACATAGCAGCTCATAGAATGGCTCCGAGTTTTTCAAGTACAAACGTTTAGCTCATAGCTTCATCATCTCTTGACCAATGTGAGATCTAATTACAGTTTTAGACTCAGCTGGTCAAACCTTTTTGGTTGATGTATTTGACCATGCCTAAGATCTCATAGACTAATTTACTCTAATCCTGCCTAAAATAATTTCAATTTGAGGGTATGCCGATAGAGATCCTGATAAGTAATAAAAATTGGGTAAAAGATACGAGCACCCTATGCTTGGTACTGCTGAGGCACAAAAATATAGCCAACTCTAAAAAGTCTAATAGATTAATTTACTGTAACCTCCCTAAAAGAATTTCAAGTACCATGGCTATTGAGGATTCCCTCTTGTTTTTATAAAACAATGTAATGGCTTTTTGGCATATTTTTACAGAATTCTTTCCAGGCTTTTGACGCACCATGTAATGTAAAGCACTTTGTGATTTAATTGTTTGTCTCCAGGTTTGTTCTGTGGCAGTATTTATGTCATGATAAGTCCTAAAGTTAGTTACATAGTTTGACATATTATTGCTTGTTTGTCTCCAGATTTGTTAGTAAGTCCTGAACCTGATTAAATAGTTTGATTCACATGTCAATACTTATTTGCCTCCATATATATATATGTACTAGCATAAGTACCTAGCTTCGCTTGAGTTATTGGGTTGATTTATTGTAGATGACTATATCAGTGTGTTTATTTTGAACCCTTTTTAGCATAAAAGTATGACCTATATAGTTTTGTTGCTCCTTTACAGGATGTGGCCTGTTTATTAAGGTAACATTTCCGCTGACAAGTCCTCCAATTTACACTTAAATAATAAAAAATAAACCTCTTTAATTAACAGAGCCTCTAAATTAGAAAACAACAAATATTTATTCAATTTTATAGTTTATACATTTCATTTTATACTTTCAGCACATAGCTTCTTAACAACAATATTAGGTTTACTTTTATTGCTAAGCAACATAACATAAAAGCCATTGTTGAAACACACTGTTACCAAAATACATTTGCTTTTCTATATATTAGAAATTTTTATCTAAGGAACCACTTCTTTTCTATGTGGTTTTTTGCCAGATTGCCTCATTAAAAAGATGTGCATGTGCACAAACATGTATGTGTCTGTCTGTCTATTTGTAATATAAGGAAATACACCATTAACTAATGTTTGATACAATTATTGTGACAGTATAGATTTTGAATGACCAACTTATCCACCCCCATTGCGATGTTATAAAAAAAAACACTTCAGTATTATTGACTTGATAGTACCTCACATTTCTTTTCTATATGGTTTTTCTCTAGCTAGCCTCACTAAACAAGCACATGGATAAGTAATAATACCCAGGTGCATACCCTCATGGTCCACTTATTCTCAAAATTTCAGCTTTCTAGGTTCTTTCCTCTTGGAGCTATTGCAGTCACTCGCAGATCCACAGACATGCCCTTTTATATATATATATATATATAGCTAAGTCTTGAAGTTGTTACATCGTTCCATTCATACGTCAATATCTGTTTGTCTTCAAATATTTTGTGTAGCAGTATTTATGTCTAGCTAAGCCCTGAACCTGATTAAAAATGTTTGATCAATATTTCACAATTTATTTGTCTGCATATTTGTTGTCTAGCACTTGCATGTCTCCCTAACTTTATATTGTTTAATTTCAATGTCACTATTTGTTATGTAGCAGTATTAATCTAAGTAAATTGTAAAGCTGGTTACATAGTTTGATCAACACGACACTATATATCTTTTTTTATTTGTTGTTTATCAGTATTTATGTCTAGCTAAATCGCAAAGCTGGTTAAATAGTTTGATTGATGTTTCACTTCTTGTTTGTCTAGATTTGTGATCTAGCAGTATTTAAATCTTTAAACTGGTTGCATAGTTTAAATGACATGTCAGTACTTGATTGTCTCCAGTTTTGTTGTTTAGCATTACTTATATCTAATTCTTAAAATGTAATTATAAAGCTTTGAATCTTGCTGTGTAGATAATGTTTTTATGATGCATTTTATTCCAGAGTTTTCTTCTTCTAACGAAACTCTGGCAGGATCTTGGCTGCTGACCAATTCTGTCCCCATGTATAAGAATTTTGAATTACTCTGGCAAGAACTTAAGCTTCAGCTGAGAAATTGGGCCCAAAAATATGATTCAGTTAATGTTGTAATAGGTCCAGTATTTAATTTCCAACACACTGGAGTTAGACTACCAAATGAAGAAATTCTGTAAGTGTCTAATGGTGATGTATTATAAATGACTTCATGATTGCAAAGTACTGAATTGAATGTTATACAGTGATAAACTGAAAAAAATATTGAAATACAATTTTTTTTATATTGATTTTGCAACTTGTAGGTTTTTTTTTCTGCCCTCAGACTAAACTGAACTGAAATCATAGCGAGATATATTTATTTATAGCTTAAATTAAAATATAATTAAGTCTAAAAGAAACTTCATGTTGAAAGTACATGTGTGCATCTGTCTTTGTTCGGTTTTCTTCTGTTCAAAATTTAATGCATTTATTGATTAATTTGTTAGGTTATCTAGAGGTGACAGTCCTGTTCCAATTCCTACTCATTATTTCGTGGTTGTCACTCGCTGCTTGATAAAAGGGAGATCTCTGGAACTTTGTTTACCAACACATCTTGATGTTGAATCATTTATTCTTCCCCACATTCTTCTTGCTGATATTTGCATGGTAAGGAGATGAAATTTTAGATGGTTAGTTTTGGACCTTATTGTAAAGAAATAAAGATATCATATTCTGTGTTTATTCCACAATTAATACAAGTTTTGCTATAATGATGCTTTTAACCTATTTTTATAAATTCTTTATGCCTTTTAATATGTTAAGTATTGTAAATTTTTTGTTAACTCTTTCAACCCGGGCTCGATGCCTGGGACTGACCTCGTAACCATTTTGTGATTGTTATAGTTTTCTTGCTATAACTTTTAAATTAGTAAGCAAATGTGAGCAAAGTTTGGCAGTAAACATTAAAATGCTTTCATTCTAGAGGGAAGATAAATTATAACAGGAAAACATAAATGTGTAGACGAAATAGCTTAAATCTCATAACAATATATATTTGATATTATGACCTTTCACCTGTGCCTGGCTAACAATACAGAAGTTAAAATGACATGGCACACTTGCACTCATGTTACTGTATCAAATAACATAAAGGTGACCTATGGTCTGTACAATGTAACTTGTCTTGGCTGTGTTTTAGTAGACTAGTATTTTGTAAAATACAGTCACATTTCAATTATTATACATTATATATGTGTATAGATTATTGCTATTTTGAAGTAAGTTCTTAAAGTTCTTTTCCCTAAAACATAGAACAGCAAACAAGTTATGACCTTTGTACTCGGTTGCTGCTTGATGTAGGTTGCTAAGCCTTTTAAAATTATGCACGTTGAGGATATGAAACAAAATACTTTTTTTAGGTTTTATATATACTTTTGGATAACTTAAAAATCATAAATTACTACATCAGTACCATAGAATTCTACTATAATTTATCAAGCTTAATAACTAAGTTGTATTTGGGTCTAAACAAATATGAAATTTGGAGCAGACTAAAGACACAACCTACCTCATTGAAATCTTGATTTAAAAGAAAGAAATGATGCAAGGTATGTTAGAAAACCACTAGGGGGACATTCTGAACTCCTGATTGGTTATTCATGTTATATATAGAAGTAATTGTTTATAAAGGAGCATTTCCAAAAATGGTAAGAGGTGAGCGAGGTGCCACTGTATTTGATTTATTACGTGAGCAATATATTAACAAATAGAAAATATAAGTCCATCTTATTTTATATTATAGCTTGTCAATATCTGTAATTTGAGTTTCTAATTTGTATAAAACTATAAACTTAGTATTTTGACTTCACAGACATGTCATTTGAACCAGTGCTGTATTCAACATATCACGTGACACACAAAAAACCGTTGTTTATATGTGTTTTTTAATATTTTCTTTAAATTAACAAATTAGTAATGTATAGTT